TAATCATATTTATAAAATTTACCGAATTATCTATCAGTTAACTCACAGATAAAAGTCTAGCACATCGGACCCAGAAATAACTGAATCTAATGTCCTTCTCTAGCCTGCTCACAGAGAAAAAAAGAAGAAAATTAAGAGAAAAAACAATTAATGGGATAAAATTTTCTAACAAACAAAATCCTGGACCTGGTGAAGAGTTGCTTAACACGTCGGAGTCGCCAGAACCTGAGCAATCCGAGCAGGAAATAAGAGAGGCCGGCTTTGGTTTGACCCGTAAAAAGGTAGCCTAATGCCTCAAATGGAATGGTTGATGCTACGTCCATTAAGAACCATGTCGAAAGGTACCTTTATTATAATTAATTTAGTTACTTCTTTTTTAACTTAAGTTGATAGAAAATGATACAACCAATTATATATGGTTAATATAGAGTATTAAAAGCGAAATAGAAAGAACCTAATAGCAATCTTTCTCCGATCTCGAACTAGCAAGTGGGTTCTAGAATCGATGTAAGCGAGAAAAAAAGTCAAGACGATGTCAATGGCAAAAAACAGATCAACAATGTTGTCTACAATGTAGAGCTTGGATTTGTTTGGAAATGAATTCAGAAATGCTGCTTCAAAGGGATATACCCAAGCTGAATAGGCCACCAGCACCACCATAAATGACTCCCAACACCTGAAGTAATTCACCAGAATAGTCTTCAATTTTTCATTACTTTTTTCATATTTTAATCCATTTTAAGCAAGAAGTTCTAACTTTTTTTTTTCTTTAGCTTAATTACTCCAAATTAATTACTTTATTCTCTAAGCTTTCAATTCAGAAAGAAATAAATATTTGGTATATATATACATTTATGACAATGTATAATCAGCACTAAAAATATAGGAAAATGTAAAAAAAAAAAAAAAAAAAAAATGAAAAATACGAAAAATAATTATTTTATTTTGGTTTTTGTCGGTGCAGATTAATTCCGCAGGATGGGTATCCAGACCACCAAATAATAAATTAATTAAAACCAGAAGAACCTATAAATAGATATGATCATTTAATTTGGGATTTGAAGGTTGATCAACTAATCTTGGTTCGGGGATTATAGTGATAATTACGAGCAGAAGCAGCAAGCAATTATTATATATAAGAGAATATATATATATGTGTGTATATGTATATATACGTGCATGGATATAGAGAATATGTGTATGAACGTTGAAGACAAATTAGACCAAACAAATTTAGAATAGTTGAGCATATATCAGCCACAAACATACTTTTCATGTACAAACCAAATTATGTATGTTCTTGTGGTTTTCATGAAATAATTATGGAATAATTTCTGGTCTACCAAATCTTTTTTTAAGAAAAAACATCATTTACAGTTGAAAATATTAAAATAATAATAATAAATATGGTTAAGAGCATTTCTGAAACTAAAACAACTTCTAATTTTGCTCCCACAGATCATCTTGTTCGACTAGAAAAGGCTTATATATATGTTTGTGTAAGTTAAAAAGTTGAGATTTAGCTGAAGTTCGAGTCAGAACTTTATTCTGTAGCTAAAAAGCTATCAACTCGCTTTATGAGAAAGACTAATGTGGGATGAAGATCAGATATGAATAGTTATGATATATATGTGTGTGTGTGTGTGTGTGAGTATATATACCTGTATCTTGAATCCATTGGTGAGATGATCCAGCCTTTGGACTTAATTTGATTCTGGTTATAGCTGGAGACACCGAGGGGAGGGAGAATAATCTTGGAGAGGTTTCTTAAGCTGAGAGATGGATCTCCATCATCATCGCCGTCGTCTTCATGACCGCCGTGGTTGACTGATACAACATGATCAGTCTGTTTCTGATGCTTCTCCATCGTCATCATCTTCATATTGGTAGAGGCCAAATCATGATGAGATGGAGTAGAAGTGAAGTTCATCTCAATTTCTGAAAATAAAAATAGCTACTGATTATAATCAGTACATTTGTGAAATTAAAGAAGATTGAAGAGGACAAAAAGCAGAAGATGATGATATATTATTTGTGTGTGTGTGTCTGTTGGTGGTGGTCCTGATCTGTCTGACTATACTTTTGGTATAATGGCAGATCTGTCTGTGCAATACTTTTGGTATAAATGGCAGCTATATTGATCCTGATTGAGTTGAGTTGAGTTGAGTTGAGTTGAGTTGAGTTGAGTTGAGTTGGGTTAAGCTGAGTTTAGTACTCGTGGTGCTGCAGGAAGGAATATGTGCGTGTGTATGTATGTGTGTGTATATATATATATATATATATATATATATGTCTATGTGCTTTGTGATAAGGTCTCAAGTGACGTTCCAGCTGCTCTGAGCTCCCTATTGGCCTTGTAATGATGTGGGGCACCACACTGCCTACATCATATCTATCTCTCTCTCTCTCTCACACACACACACAAATAATTCACAACTCAATTCGAATCAACGGCCATTAATTGAAGCAGTTCATCACTAATAATAATCACCTATTCTTATTATTAGTATCTAATGGAAGAAGTTTGCTAACTAATTACTTATTATTAGTTAAATAATATAATTTAATCATCATATGACCGCTAACTAAATTGCTTTTTTACTTTTCACTACTCAAATATGTATGTTTCTTAAGGTCTATGTCTATATATTTAAACGAGATTGTTTTTTTTTTTTTCCTAAATAGAAAGAGTAAGATTCTCTAGCTTACTATTTCAAATAAAATTACATAAAACATTGGTTATAGATTAAAGTAAACAGCTGTTTTTTTCTTTAAGAAAAAGTAAACAACACTTTTATATAAACAATAAATAATTTTTAAGTCAAAATTTATGCTTCACGGTTCTAAAACTAGTTGTTTGGTGATATGGGAAGTAAGAGCTTGACTTATTTAAGGTTTACCAAAAATTACAAAAGAACATCTTGCCCTCAAAAATTTTCTTAGGAGGGAGAATTTAAACCTAAATGAGTTTGAAGTAAAAAAAAAAAAAATAATTTAGAGAATTAAAAAAGTTTCATATGATAAAAAGACATATCTTTGTTGCCGTAGCATGGGGCTATTTATTTATATAGGAAGATTAACAACCAATCATCTCACTTACTTATATAGCAAAAAACAAGTAGAGTGAACAATTATTTCATTCTACATTGTCACGTTTGAGTATTTTATAGTAAACATGGTCATCTCGTATTAAGTCATTTGAGTTATTAACTTAAATAACTAAGTAAAATATTTATCTAAATAATTAAATAATATAAAGTATTTCTTGGAAAGTCAGGTAATATTCGTGTCTAGTTAGTAGATGAGGAAAAATAGGTGGAAAGTTGGTAGCCATGAAGTACCTAGTCTCTAGTTAATACCTAAATAGCATTAGATAATACTTCCACAATCAAATAAGATTAGGTTTATAATGGTCTCTTGAGTAACTTAATAGAATTAAGTGTATACTTGTAATGAAATAGTTCAAAGTGTTACCACATGACTAGGACGTAAAAGGTATCCATCTATAAGACCAAGTAGCATCCTAGGTTGAATAGTTGATGGATTTTGATTTATATTATTTGTCACATACTTTCTTAATTAACATTAATTAATTGACCAACCAGACTTACTTATCACAAAATTTCTCCATTAACTTGTTTGAGCTAAGTATTAATAATATCTCGAGAAAGTTTACATGTGATGTACGAAAGATACTATTATAATAATCTTATATCTATATCAAAGATAATAAAATTATTAACTTTTTAGTAATAGTAAAGACAATTTTTTAATATTTTATCATTATGTCATTTTCATAAGAACGTTTTAAAGTTCATGTAAATAATAGATGCCCAAAAACTATGCAATGACAAAGTAATTATTACAATATCATGATAATGAGAACTATTCTCTATAAACACAATTTATAAATTTTTTAGTCATAATGTTAAATGTGACATTAATACTATTGAATCTAGACAAGCAAATACATAATATATTACTTCAAATGGTATTTAATTGTATTGAATAATGATGAAATGACATCATATCAATTATATATATACTTATTACATAAATAAATTCACTCGAATTACTTGAAAATATATTCTTATATTGAATTTTTTATTATGTATTAAACAATAATCCACATAATAATAATTTTGTAGATTTATTCTTTATGCCTAGTACTGTAACAACCCAAAGGACCCTACATTACTCAAGGATGGCAATATTTATAAAGAAATCTCCTGAATAATCAAAGACTATGATTTTGAGAAATTACCCATTTAATTCTTGTTCGAGGGTTTATTAAAATCCCCCAACAAGGGGAGAAATTTCTCCAAGAAGAATTAAAACTTATCAACAGCGGAAAAATCCCTCGAAAGGGGAGATAAATTCCTTAAGAGGGATAAAATCCCACAGAGAGTAGAAAAAATCTCCCTAAGAGTGATAAAATCCCTCGGGGAAGGAATTAATTCTCTAAGAGACATCAATCCATCGAGAAGGGGAGAGTTCCCAAGAAAAAACGAAAAGGTCCCAAGGAGGAAATTCTCCAAAGGAGAAAATACCCTAAGAGAGAGAAAACACCCAAATTGAGGTGTAAAATTCCTCGCCAATAGGAAAAAAAAAGAGAGCAGTGAAAATTCCTAATTGTAGGAGATTAATAAAATCGAGGGAAAGTAACAATGACAGGAGACCACATGATGGCCCTAACCATCTTGCCCACCAGGTGGCCACAACCGACAGGCTAACAACAGGCTCGGCTAACCATGTTAGACACCAACAGCTCATATCACTTGCATGTGATCCAATGGCCTAAAAATCCCATTTAAATGGCCTTTTTTAAGCGCTTGAAGGACAAAAAATCGTCTGAAGGTCGAAAAAAAAAGAAAATTCACAAAAAAGAAAGAGTGGGGAAGAAAAATAGAGCATCAAGAAGCTCTATGGACCCGATGTAAATTTGTCCCTCTTCCTTCACCTTTCCAAATAGTTTTCTAAATAAATACACAAGCATTTTATCTCAGTGATTTAGGGAAGCCAAAGGAGACCTCCCAATGCTTTTGAAAGGAGAAAGAAGAGAATGAGAACCAGCTGCCACCCGAGTTGACACTAGGTAAAATACGTCGAACCGACATATAGATGTATTCCTTCGATTTTATGCATGTGTGTGTCGATGTTTTTAATGCATTTTTTTTATTTTATATGTCTACATGCATGTAAAATCTAAAGAGCGGATTTAATTTGTCAGGATAAGGATCACTGTACCATGCAGAGGCCTCTAAGGCGGCTAAAAACGTTGAAAGAGTCGAAACATTATGCCCAAATGCTTCTTAGCTCACACGAAGGCCTCTTAGGTGCCTGGAAGTGCAAGGGGAGCTGTGGCATTTTACCTAGATGCCTTACACAAAGGCATCTTAGGCACCTAAAAGCATTGGTAAAGCCACTGAGCTTACAAAAAATGTACAGCTCGCCTCTGTAATCCATTATTTGTTCGTCGCTCAATTTTTTATGCACTATATTTTGATTTTTGATGTTTGTTTTGATGCATGCAAAGTTTTCAGTTAATGGATTTCATCAAGATAACACCAAAGCAAAATTAATTTTTTAACTTATTGACATAGTAAAATTCGAAGAAAGATCGAAGATTGCATTAAAGGGGTCTTTAAAATAGAAAGTTTTTTGTGAAGTGATGATATAACACCCCAAACTTTTATGATGAAACGAGATGACAAATTTTGTTATTTGAGTCCCATTAGTACTTCAAATTTTCGATATATCGAAATTCGTTAATGATTTTGTTATTTTCTATATTTTTTATGGATGTAATTTAAAAATAAAAATTTTAGGAAAAAAAGGAAATTCGTGAAACAAAAGGCGGGAAAAATTTATTACAGCCCGCACTCATAGGACCAAGGCCCGCGTTCGGACACGTGCATGCGGCGCACTACACATAACAATGCATGAAATACGCGCGCACAGGGGGCAACATGGGCACCTATACACGTCAGGGTGCCTGCCATAGGCCATGCATGCCCATGCCGCTCACTGTGCATGTACAGCGCTTGGTGAAGCGCACTGTACGACCAACTGACGCGATCAGTCATTATGTCGAACAACCATGCCAGACCCCACGTGGCACAAATCCAACCATCAAATTTCTTTTTAAAAAACCCTTTTTCCTTCCATTCTTCACCATCTTTCCATTTCTCAAATTTCACTAAAACTAGAGAAAGAAAAAGAAAGGATTTTTAGAGATAGAAATGAGGAGGAAAGTAGCAGACTTACTAGCTTGTTTGAGGAATTTCTAGAAGCTTTTCTTTACTTTCGAAAGGATAAATTTACTCGATTTTCAGTAAGGCTTTCTTGGTATTTTTACTTACGTTCTAAGTGCTCTTTTTGGTAAATCAATTTGGTAAAATGATAAAATCGTTAAAATGGACTCCATGCCTTCTTGTGAATTATTTCGAATTATGCTTGTTTGGTGATTTGTTTAAATGATTGATAATTATTTTGATGTGATAACAAATTGTGGGATTGACCATTTGTCTTACCTTTGGTAATGAAGAAGAGGGACTTTCTAAGGAATTCCAATTTCAAAGAACACAGTGATGATCAAATCCGAAGAAAATGAGCCTTTTAGTCAAAATGTTGATGAGCTCCTCCAAGCTTTGGATGTGAATAAACTATAAAGGTGTGCTAGATTTGAATCATGATGATGGTCATAAAAGAGTGCTTAAAATGAAAGAGAAAAGAATGAAAAAAATCTATTAGACCGTTATCTCTGAGGGATTTTTGTTCATCCCTCCTCTGAATAAATGTTGGTCAACCACTCCTTGTGAATGATCGGCGCCTCCCTCTTATAAGAGCGAACTCACAAAATGACATGTAGGGCCACAGTAGTGAAGCACAATCGTGGTCATAGATTATCCCTTACAAAGTTATGGAACTGACATTAGAAAGTTATGGAGCTGACATCAGAAAGTTATGGAACTAAACTAAAAAAGTTATTGAACCAACCTTAAAAAGTTACGGAACTATCCCAAAATGGGAAATAAACTGGCTTTAACGAGTGAAAATGAAATGAATTGGTCA